TTTTTTTGGTTTTTCTCGGGTACCGGGAACCGAACTCACGACCTTGCGCTTGCCAGGCAGGCGCTTTTGCCGCTGAGCTAAATCCCCAGCCCCTTCTTTATTGTTTATTGTTTTGTTTTTTCTGGTACTGGGAATCGAACTCACAACGTCGCGCTTGCCAGGCAGATACTGTGCCCCTGAGCTACATCCCCAGCCGCTACAATGTGTTTTAGATGGGCATTCGTGGGCACCTTTGCACAAGATCAGAGGTTACTGACCAGAATTTCGTGCTGCGTGATTCAGAGCACCAGCAGTATTATTTGGGCACTGGGAAACAAGATATTTTCCTAAATTTGTAGTTTCTCCCTCCTGTGGATCAGGAAAATCCCTATTGATTGGCCTCTGGAGGTCTCTTTTAAAACTATTTTTATGCTGCTTTTCTCTGCTGCTTCCCTCTGCTGCTTCATTAGTGGGTACTGCTGACTTCTCAGGGAAAGGCAATTAGAGCTCTTTCCCCGTGCTTCCCGCACAGGCTGTTTCAACAAAGGGCGTAATTTAAGAAACATAGCAAATAAGCAAAATTTGTGTATCTCATAAATGTTGCACAAATTTATGAATAACTGAGTCATAGCACGTGTTGAGCCAAAATATTTATTGTAGACAGAGCTGTTGAGGGAACAGGGTGTGTTGAAGGAAAAGAAGCCCCGTGCTGAAGGTGGCTTCTGTCTGCTACCACAGACCTCAGCCGGAGAACACTGCACCCGACTGAGTGGAAGAAAGCTGGCTCTTGGTACCATTTTCCTTTCAATGCAACTAGAAACCGAAAAGCAACTTATGTTTCAGAAGCAGTGTATGAGGAAGTTGCATGTGTGTGAATAAATAACAGTGCCTACAGACTTGGTTCAGCACATGTTGAAAATACATCCCACCGAATTTTAAGAACACAGTATCTAATGATTTGCTAGTTCTCCTAACATCTCAGCTACTAGCGGAAAACTATTAGCTTCTAAACCTAGTCATTTTTTTTCCTTCATGACAAGTTACTTTATTTTTTTTTTATTTTAGAAAGAAAAGGAGGAAAGTACTAACAGACAGACAACATTTTACAAACTAGCAAAGGATCAGTACAGACATGACAGTTACAAACAGAGTGGTAGGGAATTAACAATGCTTGTTGTATTACATATTGATATATGCAAAGTGGTTTCTCATGAAAACAGATATAGACATACAAAGCTGATCAACCAAGGACTCATTGACAAGTTACTTTAAAACCGGGTTTCACCGAAAATATGACTTAACTAGAAAATGAGCTCTAGTTGGTCTTTAGCATGGTGATGGCCAGTGTCCTGCAGAAGGTTATACCTCACTGTTCTCTTGCTCAGTGGCTTTTCTGTAATGGCAAGTAAGGCAAAAATAGGCTGGTTTCGGGGGAAAACATGAATAGACTCCGTTAAAACAGAGAGCCATGAAAGTAAATAAATGCTTTGACTTTGAAGAGATTTGGTAAGCATCACGAATCTTTCATTTCAAGCTTGCTTCAAACCCCAGCTATGGACTTTTATCACTTTCTTTTATATCAGCACAGTGTTTAGGAGTATTCCATGATAAATATCCGAGCATAATCAAATTTATTATGAATAATTTTAGATTGAATTTGTTTGAAATATACATAAACTATGTACAAAGCAAGTTTTTCATCTGAAAATTAACTCATTTTTAACATTTCTTTGTTAAGTTTATTGGCATATTTTAGATATACATAAGGATCATGTTCATCATAGGAAATTTATACCCGTATGTAATATATTTTGATTCTTCTTTTTTGTTTTTTTTTGAGACAGGGTCTCACTGTGTAGTTCAGGCTGGTCTTAGACTATGCAACCCAGACTGGCCTCGAATTTATAGCAATTCTCCTGCCTCAGCCTCTCAAGTGCTGGCATTACAGGCATCCACCACCATGCTTGGCTGAAAATTAACTCTTAATAGCCACAAACTAGAGCAAAAATTATTGTAAATTGCAACTGATCAGAATGCCAAGTTAATCCTAAAAAGAACTTCCAATTTGTGACTAAAAAACATACTTTCAAAATTTCTAATGAAGATATGCAAGTATATTGGCATCTAATCTGCTAGCAAGTAAGCCAGGCTGCATTCAGAGGCGCAGATGGCTAACTGCCTTTGGGTGGTAAAGGGTCATTTTAATTAAATTTCATCATAAGAAATTCCAAAGATATAATGGATAGTTTATGATAAATATGACCTTTACAGCCTTCATGATCTCTTTTTCTCCCCTAGGTTTTATAGAGAAAGTGACAACTGAACTATCTGCGTCCATCTACCAGCTAATTGACATCTACTGCAGCAGTTTCTACGCAGATTTCCAGCCTGTCAGGGCACCCGGAAGCATCTCCTCTGCGCACCCTGGCCTGCGTGCACATCTTAGCTTCACCGTGTACGCAGCACACAACATCCCAGAGACCTGGGTGGACAGGTGAGGGTGACTTTCCACTGGAGGGTTAATTCCTTTCCATAGAACTTCTAATTAGATTGAATGTTACTGATCTTGTGCTTATTTACAGAGACAAATATTTCATAGAATTTTTGAAAATTTCTTAAAACTACTATGTAAACATTCAGATTTCCAAAGGATTTTTTTATTATTTAAGTTTATTGGTACATTTTAAGTATGCAGAATAATCTCATTCACTATAGAGAATTTGTACCTTACATGATATAACCTAATTCTTTTTCTTCCCAACCCCCTACCGTCCCTTCAATCCCTCTTCCCTGCCTTATTTCCCTCTTCCACTCTTTGTATAAAAACTAGTTGCTGTTGTCAATGTAGTATTACAGAAATACAAAATGCTCATCCTGTGAAGTGGCTGCCCTAAAATTTTCTTTTTCTTATTTAGATTTAATTGACTAATCTAATGAAAGAAAATTAAAGAAGATGAGGGGGTGGAGAGAGAAAGAGAGAGGGAGGGAGAACATAACATACAGAGAGATAAAGAATATTTTAAAATAGGAAAAAAAAACTGATTCCCATCAATTATAGTGGAAGATATTTCATGAGCACAATATTTTTTTGTTTTGTTTTGCTCTGTTGTTTTATTTGTTTGTTTGTTTCTTTCCAGTAGCAAGAATCGAACTCACAACCTTGCGCTTGCCAGGCAGGCACTGTGCTGTTGAGCTAAATCTCCAGCCCCTGAGCATAGTACTTTGAATCTGTAAAATCAGCCAAGGATTTTTGTGGTTGCAATAAAAATGAGTTACAATTATACATGGAAATCACTGGCTTTTGGAATGAGTTGACATTATTACATCATTTTTTAATACCTTGCTTAGGGTAATGTAACATAAAGTTTTGAATTTCTTGTAGGTTACATTTACAAAATAATACTGATTTAAATTGATAGGAGAATAGTAAAGATATCTATTAATGAATATGATGTATCTACAGCATTGAGCACCTCAAATAAAAACTGAAAATATTTCAGTAAAGATAAATAACTTTAGTTTAGTATTTTCAGAATATATAAATATTTATTAGTTAATTTAAAAGAAAATCTTGTCTATTAAAAACTATTACACAGTTTTTTAGAATCCAGGATATGGTACTTCCATGCTTTTCCTTTTTTTAATTTTATGATGAATTTTAAAAAGCCGATATACACTATAACCAATTGCTACTTCAGTGAGTGTTTTCTGTTTCTGAACTATCAATATGTATTCCTTAATTTTAGTTCACATGGAAAAGCCTTTATGGCTAGGTACACACAGATAATGCTATATGCATAGAGTACGTATATATGTATGTGTGTGTATAGATAGATAAGGATATATGCACTATATATAAATACATAATACATTTTTAACTGTAAAATGCATGAGTAGATTTAAAATGCAATCTGTATTTGTATAAATATAATCTATCTGTCCACCTCTCCTTTTTCCTATTTCTCTACATAATTCCTGTTTTCAGAGTAAAAATACTGAGAACACTTTAAACATTTTTAACTTTCATTAATGATAGAGGCAGATTTGTACTTATGTACATAAAATTATAGATTTAAAGTAATGACTTTATTTGAGAGTCTCTGTGATCAACAAGAACATTGATAGGAAAAACAAAATTACACTTGTCATTTATTAGAGGAACAAACTATAACCAAGGCTGGAGACAGAAAAAAGACACCACTATTCTTCTAATCTATGGACCAACAACCAACCTTACAAATTCTGGGGAGAGGTCCCAGTAAGATGTCTTACCTGGTGACAAATTGTGCCCTCAATGGAGGATTCCCTAGGGACCTAGCTATTGATTGGTACAAATAAATTACCCCAAAATTTACCATCATCTCAGAGCAAACATGGATGAGCTCATATTGTGAGGGTCAGGAACCGGGGGAGTACTTTTGCTGATTGGTGGGGCTCAAGGAGGAGCAGCCAAACCAGTAACTAGGGCCACAGTGATTTCAAGACTGACAGAAGAGTCCACTTCAAAAGTTACTCACAAGCTTATCAGCATTTCTCAGATCTTCACAACGTGTAGGTTAGGGAATCTCCATTCCTTGCTACAGAACTACCTTTAAGCATCCTCAAGTCATAGCAGTTGGCCTCCCCTGAGCAAACATCCATCAAGAGAGACAAAGTTCATGAGCAAGGGAACATCAAAGAGAATGAGGGAGTGTTTTAGAACCTAATCTTGGAAGGGATAAACCATTGCTTCTGCCACATTGGTATCCTGTGGGAAAACATGGTACTGGTTTCGAAAACTAGGGTGCAGGATCACTGGAGACCACCCTGCAAGAAGGTCTGGAAAGAAACAGCAGGAAAGAACCTAAGCCAGAACTATCTCCAGAAGCATAAGTACTGACCAACCAGGCACAAAAGATAACAACATGACAACTTTTTGTCTGGTTTTAGCTATAAAGAGTAGATCTAAGGGCACTGAAGTAAACTAATTTGTTAAGCCACAAAACTCTAAAATAAGAAGTAGTTGATGAATTTCAAACTGATTTGTGCTCTACTTCATGACTCTGCCTTCAGAAAAGTCCCTACACAAGCTATCAAAGACAAATGAAGACATATCTCACTTACGGTCACTTGATTAAACAAATCCTTTCTGTGATTCATTACAATGATTAATAATCCATTCATATTGAACCAAAATTTCTCATAATACTGGATAGAAATTATGTTTTAGCTTTATCATTTCTACAGATAGAAAGATTATTGTACTCAATGATGAGATAAGTTTCCCTTTTTATTTTTATATTTCATGGTGCTCTTTGTCTTAATAATTGCTCAACATGTTTCTTCCATTATGCCTGTTCATTATGTTTGTTCCATTATGCCACGTTCAAATGACAAGGCACATGTGAGTAGGACTGTATTTTTTAACCTATACTAACCAAGACACTTCCAAATAAATAAAACATGTTCCATAAGAATTTATTGAAAGTGTCTAAGTAGACTCCCTTCAGTAGAGGAGGGAGTACGACTTGGTTTGAGATTATTACATGGAGCTGAGAGAAGGAATATTTAGCCTACATCATGTTATTGACAAGGACAGAAATAGAAGCTGAGCTGGAACCTGTGAAGAAGTGACAAATGTAAGAGAAGGCACATCAGGGAGTGAAGTAGGTATTGTAGCTGAGATACATCCTTGGGCTTTGGGACCAGCAGCTCAGAATCAGGGAAAGTGACACCAGAGCTATCAGTGGCCGTGGAAGAGTGACTGACTAGCAATTGTGAAACTTACTGTTAGCATGAATGAGAGCAGAACAAGACACATTTTATTAGGAAGTTATGTTAAAAAGTTGATGAAAATTAGTTTTAAAAATCCCTTAAATATCTCATAAAGTATAATGCCAAGTTAGGGTAAATAGGATGCAAAAATAATTGTGCATAAATATGTAATGTGTACAGAAACGTACGTTAGGTGATAAAGTAGAGTCACTGGCATTTTTAGTTATAAGAGACTGTGAACATACGAGAAAGGTGGAATTCTTTCTTACCAAGAGTATCTTTCTTTACGGTGAGGATTTCCATGGCTAGAGGCTCCTTGTCATATCACTCTACATATAAGCTTTCTTGTTGCTGGGACAAAATACTTGACACTTGAAATTTAAAGGGGGAGCACTTTGATCCATCTCACAGTTTCAGAGGGTTCAGTCCATGTCACTGGTTCCAAAGCAGAAACATCGTGGCTGAAGGGCATGGTGGAGGAATCTGCTCATTTCATAGTGGCTGAGAAGCAGAGTAGAGAGGAAAGGTGCCAGAGACAAAGGGACCAGGTACCAGAATAGAGCCAACATCACACATCCGGGAACCCTCCAGACATACACAGAAATATGCTTTGCTGATCCCCTAGGAAGCTCCCAAGTCAATCAAATTGACAATTAAGCTTAACAGTCACACTTTGCCATCAAAAGCACATGTGCACTGTCTAAGATCATCTTTCATTCATCTCACTCAAGTCTCATTGATAAACTTGGCTTGTGGTATAACCATGCAAAGGAATGTCTGGAAGATAAGTACAATACCTCTTAATATAAATACTGGGCACACACCAACCAAATATTGGTGTATAAACTAACATAATGGATTTTGAGTCAAAAAGCATTATTAAATGTAAAATCATGATATAGTAGTAAAATATGTAAATCACAATAAGAAGAGTTTTTTTAAAAAATGACAGAAATGCAAAGAGAAACTGATGGACTACCATCATGGTAAGTGATATCAACATTTCTCAGGAATTAATAAATTAATGAGGCAAATTGAAATATATATGGAAGAGAAAGCTAACACAATGAACAATCTTGATCTAATAAATTTTTGTCCTATACTCTACTGGAAATAACTTGAACGTACAACTTCTTTTCAATGGAGAACATATATTTTAAGTGACCAAAAACTGTATTATAAAGCAAGTCCAAACAAATGTAAAATAACATATAAATACAGATCTCATCCACTTTCTACAATGTGACTGTATAAAAGAGCAATAATGAAACACATATAAATAAATGTATTTGTGAATTCAAACATGTATTTTTGAATAAGTTGAGCTGTCAAAGAGTTTGGGAGTTGGGATTTTTGCTGTTCATTCCATGCTGAGCTGGGGGAGAGGTGATAGCTAATAAGAGCCAGTGTCTTTGCCCTCAGCATCCCCAACCTTGTCCCTTTCCTGTGAAAACTTAGGTGCAAGAAAGACAGAAGCCACTCCCTTGGGTACTGAAGTTAGGTGGAAGTTCCAGCCTTCTTTTTCTCTTGCTGGGGACTCTGGCAAATGGGTGGCACCATGAATTCCCTACCAGCTTTGATGAGGCTGGCTTTGTACTCAACTAGGGTAGAGGAGCCTCTTCACTGGCTCCTGGATTTCCCACAAAAGGAATTAGTCATGTATTGTTGAATTGGTGTCACCACGGGCAAAGGAGGATCTTGGTGCTGCTATTCTGCAGTTTTGCTAATGCGCTCAACATAAATCCTTAAAGCCATTTGTAAAGCACACTTTACACAAGCAAACATGACTTTATCCTTTGACTTTTGACTATAAAAATAATTGACCCATTTACAAAGCTATTTCCTTCAATGTGTTAAGTTTACTGAATCAATATCGTTTCTTTTAGCTATAAAGCATTTTCGTTTTCCTGCTGGCTTACATATGCTGGAAAGAAGTTGTGCCAAGTGAGAAACAACAGAACTATTCCAGTCAAAAAATTATTTTTTTTCTTGGTCAACTGGAGTGAAACGTAAGTTTAATCTTTATTCTAACTGGATCATTTTTTAGTAAAACTTAGCTCCCCTCCTTTTTTTTCAAACAACAGAAATGATTAAAAAATGTTACTAGCTCTAGATTTGATACATGGGTGTGATAAATATGCTAGTGCTAATACATAAGTGCCTATTAATTCAGCAGATTAAAAGTTCATTTAAAAGCCTAGACAACTGTCTAATCCATACTATTGAGCTGAGTAAAAAAGAAATCAGAAAAAGGAGTTATTAATCATTCACATCCTCCAGAAATCAGAAATTATTTGAGTTGGGGAGGATGGTCCACATACAATGCAGAAGAAAGAAATCATCTAATAATATACATAATTTCTATTTTCTCATGCAAGTCAATTACACATTTGCTACAAGTTCTTTAGCAATAAACATCCATATATTGGGTAAGTTTGTACCTAACTGGGAATGACTATTTCCTTTTTCTTCCTCCTGTGGAGATCTGTTAAGGCAAAATTGTCAGGAGTCTTCTTAGCACTGTCCCTGCTCTCCACCTCCCCTGGCTCCTCCTTCCCCGTTCTGTTCTGTCCTCCCTCAGACTCTCAGGGGACTCATGTGCCCCACCCATGGCATTGTCACAGGTACCACTGCTCTTCCTCACCACTCCTATGGCTGATCCATTGGTTCTTTGCCATCTATTTCTCCACAGCCTCTACTACTTCACTGATGAGGAATAAGCAGTGTTATTCCTATGCAGCTGGAAGAAAGTTTTCCAGTGCATTCTTCTTCAGCTGTTCCAGAAGATCTGGCTTTCTTAGAAGACAACTCGCCACCAAGTCTCAGGCTTTCCCACTGAAAGCATGCATCAGAGACCTAGGAGTCTCAGGGTGGTGTTAGGACAGCCCCAACTGCCTCTGTTACGGTCACGATGTTCAGTGGAGACTGTCCTGAGACGTGGCCTGCAACCTGCACTTCCACACACATCCTGCTCCTTCCCATCCCATCACAAGCCAAACCTTCTCTGTTCCCCGACCTTTACCATCCCTATGTTCCTTTCTTTCCTTAAGTTCTTAATTCCTTTAACCAAAGACCTGACCTCAGTTACAATATCCTTTTCCCTTGTTACAGAATCTTTGCTGTTTGTAAAATTCTGCAGTGGCTTTTCAATTCTTATGAGGCAGAGAACAAATCTGATAGCATAGAGCACAAAGCTCTCTATGGTTTGGTCCTACTTATCTGTACCTTCATTTCTAGAATTAGACCCACTCCCTTCCTCTGCACCTAATCTGCATCCAATCTATTTATCCTGCTATGAACCCACAAATCACATCTGTGTCTGGGTCCCTGATGTGTTAGAACTGCAGTGATTCCACTTGCCCACCTTGGGAAGACCTACTCAGCTTCCATCTTCTCTACAAATGCTTTCTGTATCATGACATTATCCACCTCTCCTTTGTTTCCTGGTCTAAACTCTGAATTTCTTTCTAATAGTAACTTAATGGATACGTTTGTTTTTATTTGTCTGCTTTTACAAATGATACAAAGATTATTTCTAAAAAAAAATTCAGTCCTCAGCTGCCCAAACAGCACAGGACAGAATAAAAGTACAGTAAATACTGCTGGGCTAATTAATGAATTTTTTGTGACAGAGATCTCCTTAAACAAAAAAATTAGCAGAGTACGGTGGCACACACCTGTAATCTCAGCATTCGGGAGGCTGAGGCAGGAGGATTGCAGTGTGTCTGAGGTCAGCCTGGGCCACATAGTGAATTCAAGGTCAGCCTGAACTACTAAATTACCTGGCAAGACCTTGTCTCAAAAAAATATATACATATAGGCCAGTTCAACTGCTAAAATTATTTTTCTGGCTTAACTAAAAATTATTCTTGGTTATTTCAAAATATTGGATTCATTTTCAACTCAGAGATTCATACTATCATGTAGATAATTCAGTAGAAAAATCTAATTCTAAAATCAATTTCAGAAGGAAAATCCCAGAATAAATTTAAAAGAATTAGTACTTTGGAAAAACCTATATTTTATAGGTTTCACTTTCTTATGACTGTTTGAGTGTTATTTTTCTGTGAAAGATACTTTCATTCTTCCAATAGTTTATTACTTCACCCTAAATATAATCTTTATTTTATTTCTTTTAAACATATTTACTATTTTGTAGGGTGCCTCTGATATCCTTTTCATATTTTATTAACATGTACTTACTACAGCATAATTGGAAGTATATTTCATTACTAGAATGTAAATTTAAGGATAAAAACTTGTGATTTAATAATAATTAACATAGGTTATGAATTTTTATGTTCTAATCATCATATTGCATCACTGAATTATATTATTTCATCCCAATTTATAACAAAAATATGAAGCAGACATTGTCATTCCCATTTTACAGATCAGGAACTCCATGTTTTTCAATTTTAATTAACTTACCCATGCCTTATAACTGGCAAACTGTTAAACTAACTTCAGAATCACCCTGACTCCTTAGCTCGTGTGTTGAATACATTTTATTTTCTTTTCTTTTTTTTCCTTTCCTTTCTTTTTTTCTTCCTTTCTTTTTTGCATCTGTCTGTCTTTTTTTTTTTTTTTTTTTTTAACTTTCTGTTCTGGGGATTAAACCTAGGGATTTGAGAGAAGTTATATTGCAGCCCTTTTTTAATTTTTATTTTGAGACAAGTTCTTCTTAAATTGCTAAATCGTCCAGACTGGGCTGGAACTTGGAATCTTCCTGCCTCAGCCTGCCCAACTGCTGGAATTAAAGGTGTACACCACCACATACGGTTCGCATATTGTTTCTTACCAACATGTAAAATCTTGGGATGAGTATTTACATTCCATGAAAGTGCTCACGTCTTAATTGAAAAACAACCAAAAATGATTTTTGCCGCTATCCAGTTCTCCTGCCTGCAGCCATCCTATTATATTCCTCTACTTTATAGCATGACTTTCCCAGGGAATTTACTTTCTTTGGATTTTTCCCTCTGCTCTAAAACTTACTCCTATCTGGGCTTCATCTCTTCTGCTAAACTGAAAATGTTGATCAGAGTCATGAGCACCCTGCAAACCTAACTCCAGCTCTTATTTCTCCCTCCTCACCCTATGAGACACATCAGAATCATTTGGTACTGGTGACCTCACGATCCATCTTGAAATTTACACCCCACTTGACTTCCTCCTACCTCACTGATCTTTCTTTTTCATCTCCTTTTCTTCTTCAATGTTTATGACTTTAAAGCTTAATTCTCTTCCCTGTTGTGTGTATTCTTACTCTGCAGGTTTATTTTACAGTCGCATACCTTTAAATACCATTTATAGACCAACAATTCCCAAACCCGTATCACCACCACTCCAGGCTCCCGTTACAATCTCCACACTATACTCCCAACTGGTCTAATACTGAATTCCTGGTCTCACATTCCAAACTGCTCTGCCCATGTTCTGGATAACTAGTTCTATTTCTAATTGTCCAGATCAAAAGCTATCAACTGGTTCTCCTCTCTCAGACCCTGTGTTCAGGAAATCTTATTGGCTTTCTCCTCAAAACATACACAGTGTTCAATCCTTATCCCTCCACTCGTCTAAGCTACTGTAATGTCTCTCCCCTATGATCACAGCCTTTGAATAGTCTTCTAGTTCTATTGCACCTTGTAGTGCTTCTCCCACACAGTTAAAGTGATGTCTTCACAATGTAAGTCAAGCCTCAAAGTACTCTATTTAAAATTCCATAAATGACTTCCTGTCCTATTGCAATCACACATAAGTCAAACTCTTTGCAATGGTCATTAGGAGAGTTCTTTTTTTTTTTTTTTTTTTTCTGGTAGCGGGAATTGAACTCATGACCTTGTGCTTGCCAGGTGGGTGCTGCACCACTGAGCTAAATCCCCAGCCCCTCTAAATCCCCAGCCCCTGGTCATTAGGAGAGTTCTGAGCAAAACATTAGGTATGTCTCATTTTCATTATCAAAAACTTACTCTGATTTAAGAAAAACTGTATAATATAGAAAAAATTTTAGTGGTTATTCATGTTTAAATAGGTAAGGCAAATTTATGGCTAAAACTTGAAGTTTCTGCCTGTTTTTCAGGTAAAAGGAAGCAATTTTATTCTACTTATTGAATTGTCTAATGAAATATTTTTATTCTTTTTTGTCTAAAAAGTTTATTCCTTTTGCTTTTAAAGTAGCCATGCAGATGTTTAAAAAAGGTTGTCCAACGAATGTGAGATTATTCTGACTTTAAAAATCCATATACATTTACAGGATGAATAAATAGCTACTGAGAAAGCATGTTTTCTTCCCACAGAATTTATTTTTATTAATAAAAATGAAAGCATTGAGTTTGGCAGTAACTATCAACTGTAACTTACCTAAGTTTTGTCATTCTTAATATGAAAATCTTACTGGAAAGTGAAGTTATAGATGAAGAAGACATATTTAATGAAGAAAAAAGAACATTGTAGATAATATGAAGGATAAAGTGAAATTACAGCTTCTGTCTTAATGCAGAAATATGAAAATCTAATAGAAAGTCAATTATGGGTAAAATATTCAAGAAATTACTCTTTCCACAGTATCATCAACACTTTATGTCACATTTCAGCTCCTTTAAGACAAGAAATAGATCTATATTATCTTGTGTGAATATTAAAAGGATGAAAGAGTAATACAGCAAAGACTTTCAGTCTTAAACCCCTAAACATGGAGCATTTTAGTAAACCTAGATCTCATCAAACTTAAAAATGGAAGATTTTTCTCAGTGTAGTCTTTCTTTTCTTTGCCTTCCTTACCTTAGTATTTCGTCAGTCTACACAGGAATTTTGTTTTGTTTTGTTTTGTTTTGTTTTGTTTTGTTTTGTTTTGTTTTCTTTTGTTTCCAGTACCGAGGATTGAACTCACAACCGTGCACTCTGGGTAGGCGCCGTGCTGCTGAGCTAATCCCCAGCCCCCAGCCCCAGGAATATTTTTTAATAAATTTGGATCTTAAATGCTCAATGGTTAATAAAATAATCACTTTGAATATAGTGAATACATTAATAGAGTGCTAATATATTGTGTACAATTGTCCATGGATTGTGTTATATCATAGTAGTTTCATTTTGTGGTAAGGAGAAACAGGGCTTAGAAAAGTTGAATGAATATAATGGTTCTATGTCAACAGGGACATTTTCTTTAATATTCAACAGCAAATTCAGACTCACTCTCTCTGCATACATTCAAATGTTGACATCTCACAATTACTTCCACTCTCACTTCTTTCTTGTCTCCTGTCAGTTAAAATTACTAGCTATATTGTAATCCAGAAACTAGAATCCACCATTAATTCTTCATTGTCCTGTTTCACTCCTATGCTGATAACCAAGTATCAGTTATCCATTTTACTTCTAAAATAGCCTTTCTTCTTTCTGCCTGCTCACTACTGTATTCCTGAATCTGGACCCATTTAGCTGAGGGAACACCATACAGAACAGAGAGATTTGCAATTCCTCATGGTCCCTGGTTATCAAGGCTGAATGCTACACAGGAACTAAAAGAAGAGGTCATAGATGTTTCATCTGACCCAGGTAAGGGCTCTCCCTAGTATTCAGAAGAAAAAGCCAATTTCTACTGTGAGAAGATTCTCAGTGTTATCGGAACCTTCAGTAATATAAACCTCCTTCCAGTGGACAATAGACTTTGGTCAGCTCAGTCCTGTAACAGTCACACACTGGTTAAGTAATTAGACATCACAGTTGAATTGGAAATCACAAAGCCGGTAGATTCTGTTCTTCTCATACTCCTCACTACTGAGGCCAAGCTGCTTAGTTGCTCTTCAGGGCATCTTTCTGTTTCTGCTTCCTGTTCCTTGATGATGCACTTCCTATGACCCGTCCCCCTCTGCCAACCTTTGCTGAAATTTTCCCTTTCCTCCCTAATATTTCCTTCTTCTAGCAAACACATTGCCTCATCTCAGCCTTTAAGAATTACTTATGTCTCTTTGTTTCATAAATAATTCTTTCCTAAAAACCCTGTTTCTCTTGAGGCTCTTGTTCCAGATTCTAGTCATTTCTACAAAACAAAGATGACTGGAGGAAAAAAAAAAAAAAGAATCCCTTACCCCAGCCCTCTGTGAGGGACTTCAGGTCCCAAGCTCAGTTTTCTGTCAAAAAATTCTTCTTGGCCACTCATGCCAGCCACATACACCCCATCCAATCTGACGTATCACATATATGTTTCTTTTTATATCATGTATGTGTTATTTGCAGTCTTCTGGACACTGCCCCACACATATGGGTGGCTTCAACATCCAAATGTAAGATTTTCTAAGCATTAACAATTCAGTTTATCCTTAGTTACTTCTATTTTGGCTGTAATATACAATGTGTTCTGAACCTGAGAATACTTTTTTTTAAAACAAATTTACTGGTACATTTAGTTATACATAATGTTCATAATCATTATAAGGAATTTGTACTATATATATGCGTGTGTGTGTGTGTGTATATATATATATATAAAATATATTTTGATTCCTCTTTTATCCCAATCCATTCTCTTCCCTTCAACCCCTCTTTCCCTCTCTCTTTACAAAACTCTGTTTCTATTTTATTCTTTGTTTAATCATTTTTTCTTTTCCTTTTTTTTCTCCTTCCCCCATACTAATTCCTCTTTCCTTTTGAACATTGTCTTCCCATTTCACAATATTTATTGTATATTTTAGTCCTTATTAATTCTTTCAGTTTCTCACACCAGAGAGACAATGTGATGTTTATACATGTGAGTCCGATTTATTTCACTTAAGAGTATGGTCTCATGGTGCATCCATTTACCTAAAAAATGTCTCAAAGTTATCCTTCTTTATGGCAGAATAGTAATCCACTGTATAAAAAACCACCTCTTCTTCATCCATTCTTCAGTTGATGAGCACTTTGGTTGTTTCCAAAGACTACCTATTACAAACTGTGCTACTGTAAACATGGATGTGCGTATATCACTGTGGTATGACGTTTTCAGTTCTTCTGGAAAAAGACACAGAAGGGGAAGTGCTGGGTCAACTGAGACCTCAAATCTATTTTTCGAGGAATCTCCACATTGATACAGTGATTGCACCATTCTCCACTCCCACTAACAGTGGAGAAATTTTCCTTTTCCCCCACAGCTCCACTAGCATTTGTTATTGGCTGATTTCCTGATGATAGTCATTCTTTCTGGAGGAAGGTGGAATCTTTATGTTTTTTTAATTTGCATCTAATAACCAGTGATGTTGAACATTTTTTTTTTCATATATTTATTTGCTGTTTGTATTTCTTCATCTGAGAAGTGTATATTCATCTCAGATACCCATTTTTGGATTGGGTCTTTGAATTTGGGAGGTCTGCTGCTTTGCAATTCTTTGTATGTTCAAGATATAAATCCCTTGTCTGAGGGAACAACTGGCTAAAAATTTTTCCCACTCTTTGGGTTGCCTTTTCCCTCTGTTGATGATTTGTTTTTCTGTGCCAAAGCTTTTTATTAGGATGAGATGTCAGTTATTGATTCTTTGCATTATTTCCTGTGTGATCAGGGTTTTGTTCATAAAATGTTTGCCTGTACCCATGACTGCAAGAGTTCTGCTGATTCTCTCTTCAGCAGATTTAGTGTTTCTGTTTTAATGCTTATGTTTTGATCCATTTAGATTTTAATTTAGTGCATGGTGAGAGACATGGGTCTAGTTTTAGTCTTTGGCATACTGAAAGCCAGTTTTTCCAGCACCATTTATTGAAGAGACTATCTTTCTTTCAGTGAAAGTGTTTGGCTCCTTTGTCAAAAATAAGGTGGTTGATTGTGTTTGGAGTTGTTTTTGCGTTCCTAATCTGTTCCACTGTTCCTCAGGCCCATCATTTTTTGCCAGTATCATGCTGTTTTGCTAGTGGCACAGTAGCTTTGTGGAATAACTTCAAATCAGAAACTGTAATGCCCCCTGCCATACCTTTGTTGTCGAGAATTGTTTTTACTATTCTAGGTCTTTTCTGGTTCCAAATGAATTTTAGGAATATTTTCTCTAGTCCTGTGAGATACGCTTATGATATTTTGGTTGGGATTACATTAAATCTGTACAACAATTCTGGGAGTATGGCCACTTTTACTATGTTGATTTTTCCTATTTATGAGCAAGGGATGTGTTTCCATTTTTGGATGTCCTCTTTGATCTCCTTTTTCAGAGTACTGTAATTTCCAATGTAGATCTTTTGCTTTGCTAGATTTATTCCTAAGTATTTCATTTTTTTGGATGCTATTGTGAAGGGTGTGGTTTCCCTAATTTCTCCCTCGATGAACTTGTTGTTTGTGTACAGGAATGCTACTGATTTTTGAATGTTGATTGTGTATCCAGCTACACTACCTGAGAACACATTTTTACAGTATCCAGGAATTGTATAAGTATCATATTTCACTGACCATTCCTCAGATTTCTGGACCTCATCATTACCCAGGAGAGCGCAAATTTAAAATTGTAGACAACTTTGTGTGCCCCTAGCTCTCTCTTTCAAATATTTCCTTTTGCGACTTAGGAAAGAGTTCAAATATTTTTGCTTGACCGAGTTCTTTAGCATTCTGGCAACCACCTCATTCTGTCTTTTCTACTTATCAGGTTGACCTCACCTTTTGTGCTATCCGCAAAGAACCACTCACTATTTTTCAGCTCCACCTAATCTTTTTATGCGTACATGTTCTTGTCTATGTCCTTTTCTCTCTGGGATACTCTTTACCAAATCTCCATCTCACAAAACCCCTCCCAACTTACCCTTTAAGACCCATTTTAGTGACTTCCTTACTTCTCCAACTCCTTAATGAGAGTTTTGTCATTCTTTCTTTGGTGCTTACAATAACTTGAGGACGGGGATGGGGATTTAGCTCAGCGGCAAAGCACCTGCCTGGCAAGCGCAAGGTTGTGAGTTCGGTTCCTGGTACCAGAGAAAAACCAAAAAAAAAAAAAAAAAAAAAACTTGAGAACAAGTACTCAAATTATTACAATTTTTTGAAAACAAGCTTATTTGTCAAAATTATGAGTATGATTTTCATTTATTCAATAATGAATCATTACCCTATATCAATTTTATTTCCATTTTTAACAAGATTCAACCAAAAATCAGAAGACATATCTCTAATCTAGTAGTTAAATAATTTTGTTCCATACTATTATGTTATCAGAAAATATTTACAAAATGTTATTGTAGTTGGGAAAATCATGTTACTACTTTTTATTTTCAGGATCAATTTTCCTCTTGAAACCAAATCACTTCCAAGGGAATCCATGCTCACAGTAAAAGTGTTTGGGATTGGCTGTACAAACAACCATCCAAATTTATTGGCCTGGACCTGTCTCCCATTGTTTCCAAGAGAGTAGGTATATCATCTGTGATTTATAAAGTTCCCATCTTAATAAATCCTTACTGGAACTAAATGTTTTGCAGGATATGGCATGATGAGAAAATCAAAATGATATTTTATTCTAAAATGAAGTATCTCAAAATAAATTATGATGATTAAAAGCAGAACTGAAAAGCAAAAATGTAGAAATGGCTTTAGAAGTGGACCTCATGCTTGGCTTGTCAGCTAGGTCAGTACAGTGAGAAAGTATGGGTATGACCAGTCTCAATTACTTTTTATTCTCTGACTAGCCAATTTCTCTGGAATTAGTTACTCAAAATGATTGGGATTATTATAGTCACTGAGAAAAAGTATAAATCGTGAAATTCTGATGAAAGGAAAATTATACAGAGTAATTGATTTACTGACCTTTAATTGCCAAGAAGAAATATTTGATAACTTTACTGTGATTTTTTTTTTGAAAGTAAATCAACCAGGAGTTTAGACATTCTCTCAGGACTAACAGCCATTGAATAATTGCATTAGTCATGCTCTTAGGACAGTTAGTATTTAAGCTTCTTGATTAAATAATGAATGATCCCCTAGGTTGTTAAGATAAAAATGTTGTAGGGGCTAGGGATATAGCTCAGTGGTACAGTGCCCTTCTGGCAAGTGCAAGGTCCTGAGTTCGATCCCCAGCACCAGAAAAAAAAAAAGTTAGAAAAGTTTCAGAAGCATCAGATTTTCACCTGTCAAGACTTGCTTTAGAATCAAATGACAAAAGTCAGGTTGTTCAAAAATTACAATCCATATTGTTATGTCAATATTGTTACAAAATACATTTTTGCCTTTGCTGCTTGAAAAAGATTTGATAATATAAAAATATTAAGAAAACTCTGTTAGTTTTGAATTCTAATACTTAGTGTAAATAATCATTGAAACAAACATGATAAATCTTTAAAAATTTCTTTTTTGGATTAATTCTGATCTAGGGTGTGTGTGGGGGGGGTGTTGCTCTATTACTAGATTTCATGCTTTAGCCCCTTTCTATATATACGCTGTTTGAGGATAGGGCTTGTGTTTATCTCTTTAATGTCTGTCATCTAACATAATGTCTCATATGAATAGGCAATCAATAGAGGTTTGTGTGCTAAACTGAATTGGAAAAAGAATCAATCCCTATAGGTGGTTTAGAATGAAAGATTTTAAAGGGTCTACAAGAAACAGTTTAGCCCTAAAATAAATATCTACTGCTGTTAGCAGACATTTCAAAGATCCAATTTGTGTGCTAAGAACTTTCATTACTTTCTCACTAGGAGCAGCTACACAGGAGTCCTTCCTTCTCATGAGAGAATTCTTTACCATTTCAATTGGAGTATTTGTAAGATCTAGCACTTCTATAGAATATTATTTCTAGTTATTCACTGAAAAAAAGCTCAACCTATTTTATTCTCTCTTACCATCAAGTATCCTACTTTGCATGTATCAATAAATATTAACCATATAATGTCAGGAATATTTTTTGTCTTTCAAATTAATTGTCAAAGCTCTTTGGGATGGTTTTGATAGTAAAACTGCTGCTGCCACTTTCTTTTGCCATGGATAAGTCCCCACTGGTAAACATTTCCTAAGCAGGTGATTGTGGAATGTGAACATCCAAGAACAGTACTATTTAGAACTGATCCATGGTGATAGTTTTGTAAGAGAAACTTTCAAAAGGAAGAGATGAGGAGGTATCACAATACTCAATTTATTTCAACTAGTATTTCAATATGCATTTGTAAATACATTTCCAACAGACTGTATCTAATGAAAATCGGAAAATCTAACTCTTTCTTGTGCTAAACGATTTAAAGAAATCCAGATCTTTTTAAGACCTTAGAAATCTGTCATGTGTGGCAGTTGCAGAAAGGCAATGACCCTCATATCGCTCATTGTGACAAGTTGCAGAGATTATGATTAAATTTGTTTGATACAGATATTTCCAGATCTCAGACAACTGGCATCTTAATTTCGTTTCCACTCAAATGACCCCGACCATAAACATTTAGTATTGAGTCTTCTAGTACAGTTTGAATTGACCATAGCTAGCCATGTGGAATTGTATGAGCACTTATGTCATTATTGTTTCCAACATACAAATAAACTAAAACTAATGCTTCCAGTATGCCTACATTTTATGGGTTTCCAGAAGGTTTTCAAAGAAGCAACAGTGATTATGCTTGGATACATCACTTATAGATGCATCAATTATGCCTAAAAATAAAAAATAATAAACTTCCATATTTTCAAGCATGCAAATTTACTCTTCATCTGCATAAAGAAAAATAGCCCAGTCCAAAGGAAAAATTTGGCCAACAAAAATTTATAATCTTCCTTTTTTGCAGACAAGACTTTCACTGTATCTGCATACACAGGGTCTCCACACTGCAGCAAGAAAGTGTTAGGCTGGGCTCAAAATTTTCACAAGCTCTCTCCCCAATTTAAGTTCACAACAAATACCGTGGTAGTTATTTAGCATTTTTAAAATATGGTGAGCTGTTTGAACACAGAGTCACCATGCTGACTGAACAATAGAATTTTAGAGAAAAGTTATAAAATTGAAGTGCAAATATTCCCCAAAGACTCCAATTTAATTGAACGGTGGTTTTGCCAGGGCATCAGTATTTTCAAAACTCCCATGATGAGAAAGCCTGAGAAAATTAAAAACTTGCACAAAATTTTAACAGAGGCCTAAAATTAGTCTTAATCCCCAAACCATTTGATTCCTTAGACAGTAGGCTGACTTGCTTACCCTGATCTGTGAGTAGATAATCCTTTCAGATATACCTTCAAAATCAAATTACCAAACTATTGTCCTTCATTCATTCCTTATTGTCCTTCTTTCTGGACCAAATGAGAGATCCTCAGAACTCAATTAGTCCAAATAGTTCTTTGATAGGTGAAGCACTCTGTCACAAAGGCAGGTCAAAAATTTACTATCAGTCATCAGTCTACTTTAAAATAGAGCAAGAACAAGAGCAGATCTGACTTCTCTCCCTGGCTTTTTCTAACTTAAGCAGGTCCACTTACTACTATTAGGAGCCGTACACTACTCCACAAACACACCTGGAAAGCTCACCACTCTGTAAGGGGATCCTGCCTTAGCCTTGGCTGGATTCTGCTCTCAGGCAGGAAATCAGTCAGAGTCAAAATTCCAAATAATTTTATAACATCAGATCTTCAGGTCCTGATAGTGTCTCCTTTCCAAAATCTTCTTATTTCCTGGTTCCGGAACACCAGAGAGAGATGCCTGTAATCCTACAGCTAAAATTAATTAACTATTTCATCAAACCCCTTAGTTTATTGCTTGAGGAAACATGGACCCAGAGGGGAGAAAACCACCCAGTTATATTCTTGGTACCAAAGATTTGGAGTTGGGCATCCCAGTCAATGAACCTGGAAAATATTCAAATTGGAAAGATCCTTAGGGATATTCTTGAAGAAATATTTTGAACTGTTATGCTCAGCAATGTAATTTGTTTCTAATGGCATCATATTCAAAACTCTGAACACATTGGAGTAATGAGGAGTAGTCTGTGTCTACGCTGTGTGAGGAGAATTTTCATCCCGCTGTCCAGTCTAATTAGAATCTCCCCAGTCTCAACCACCAGCAGAACCCAAAAGCTGTATAAAATCTCTTTGGAATACCACTAATTTGGTTCAAGAAACTGCAGGAAGCTTAGCAATTAAGGCTGGTTAATGAAGATAGGATCGAGATGTCCTCATAGATTGTCTTTGCCAATATATTTTCATGTGTTTCTCACCTCCACAATATTTTGCGTGTTTAACTGACAAAATAAATCTTTTCACAGTAGTAATAAATTAAAAAAAAAAAAACTACCAGTATTCCTTACCTCCCTGATGTTTAAACCATTTGCATCTTCTTTCTGACATCATCAATACCCTTAGATGTATTCTTTTCATATTTTAATTCCACTTACCATTTCCTCGTCTATGGAAATTAACATTGCAGTATTTAGAAAGATACCCAAGGCTCAGGCTATTATTGGAAAGCAAATTAACTAATACTAAGCACGAAAAGCACCTCAAAAAATGGTACCAAGTCTGCTTCCATCCCCTACTGAATGGCTTTCCAGAACACGTTACTGTATATCAACTTCTTTTGGGTCTAGAAGTTCATTCCTCTTGTGACCTACTTCCTGGTAGCACCCTCATACACACACCTATGTCAAGTGCTCTGGCTTCATTCAGCCCCTGTGCTTCAGGATGGGGGTCAGGGTGACTTGAATATGGATTCTACTCAAGGACAGAGATGGCAAAAACTGATCACGAGACTTTTCTCCTATGGGAGACAGTTTAGATCCCTTAGATATTCTAGCATGTGGCTAATATATACAAATGAGTGAAACTGCAGCTATGCCACATTCTACAAATTAGATACAAAGAAAATGCAAAGACTATATCACATTATTCCTCATGAGCTCCAACCCTCTAACTATTGAGGAGAAAAAGCTTTGCCATCTATGACAAAGTAGTAGTCATTTTAATAGTGCTTTCAGAAGTCTGCAGTCTCTTTTGGATAAAAATGTTTATTCACTCAGCTTTTTCACACCTAATTGTTTTTCTAAGGAAGAGAAAAGATGCACAGGATTAGAAAAGAAAGGGAAAAAACTCAAAAAGATCCATTGGGCCTACAGACTTTTGATGTCCCTATCAAAACTGTTTGTCACAGCTGAAGTCCGCAGCTACTGTAGCTTGTGATTGGAAATCTCCCAGCTTAGACAGGGCACTGTCTGAGGTTTGGTTCAAATGCCTAGTTCACCCCAGCCTGGTTGGTCCAACCAGATTCCTTATCACTAGTTCCCTTAACTCTGTCTTGTCACACAACCACCACCACCACCCCATCCTGAGAACTCTCCTGTATATCTTTAGGTATTTCTAGATCCCAACTGAGCCACTTAGAGACCAAAGAAGTTCCCATGCAGCTAAAGTCAGGAGCTCTTTCTGCGTCAAGTTTAATAACCATGCCACAGATAGATGCAGCGGTGGATCAAGTGGTTTTAGTGCAGGACCGGAAACAGGAAGTGAGAGAAGCAGCTCATCTCCTCAGCATCACATTATGCTCTCTTTCCTCACACTTTGTCAGCTTCTCAGGAGGGAGAAGGGAAAGAAAACCAGGACTCCTGTGTGGACCATGCTCGCTCTGTTCTCTCCTTATCTGTTCTCTGCTTCCCAAACTGCTTTCCTTCTCTCCCCGCCCTCCATCTATTTCTCCATGTTCTTCCTCTTCCTTACCTTCCTTACCATGTCTGTCCTTACCACTCATTATGAATGGAAACATTTTCTCTGAATATTATGTCCCAAGGCCTCCACCTCTGACATTAGACATGCTCTTTCCTTCTTTTGTACATTGCCTGACTCTAACCCAAAACTTATCCCAAGTACATGGATATTTCAGGCTCTTTTTGGTGAAGGTCGTATACTTTGAGAGCAAAGGGAAGGCAAAGGGAAAATGACATTAATGATTGTCTAACTGTAATTCTTGATAAACAATTTTCACTTTGCTAATACTGGTCCTGTAGCATCGTTACACCAATCCCCAAAAAAAGTCTCTTCAGAAAAGGCTAGAACAAAGGAATAAACAAAGAAAACTCAACATTCCCCTTATTGAAGAATACTCTTGAATCATATAAAACTATCTGTCTTAGGATGTTGGCAAACCATATCCTCTTGTGCAGATATTTTCTGACTATTTTTAGGTACAGAACTAATAAAGAAGGTAGGATTTAAAGATTTCTTAAAAATGTAAAGAAAATTTTATCTGACAGAACTTTTTGTTCCTCATGTTTTATGTAGCATCCGTTACATGGCAATATAGAATTGTATGTTGTCCTTTAAGAAAAAGATGCTTTAAACATTTTATAAGGTTAAATTTAATTTTCTTACTTTTCACTTCCACATTTTCTGTTTGGCTTATTAATATCAAACACTACTCCTGCTGATCATTGGAATGTTTTACCATTTTGATTCATGTACACATCCAGGTATAGCTTCACTTTAAAATTTGTATAAAGATCTTTGTATTCTGATATTATCAAAGCTGTAAAAGCCATGAATTCTAGCCTGTTTAAAGTCTTTCCTGTATGCACTTTCATTTACTATGGTAATTTACAACCAATTTTTAAGTATCTGTATTTAAAAATGAAGCATCTTTCTATTTATGCATGCAGGAACATTTCCTCTGTGAATTTTCACAACTATTTTGATTCCAGAGATCATATGCTGTGTTAATGCAAATCTCTCTATAAATGTACAATTCAAAATGCCCAGGGAATTTAGCCACTCCATGGAACCAAAAAATGCTCTGAAGAGTTAACATCTTTATTGATTTAAAGTAACCATACTTCCAAAAATATAAATTTGAGGCTCTCCTTTCCCCCTTATCACCACTACTGTAAGCAATTACAAATAAATGCTGCCTGTTAGAAACCACTGTGGAAAAATTTTTCTCATATGAAAAATAAATTTAGGTATATGTGCAAGTGGCATTGGATTATGATGTGGTATATTAGAAATGAACTGTTATTCAGTGTTTGGGCTGATGGAATATCTTATTTCTTTTCTTGCTACTGAGTTAAGCCACCAAAATAGATGATTATGTTTACATTCCAAAAGGAAGCATGTACAGATACTAACAGCTTCCCTCATGGAGTTACTCCTGTCTGTATGTGTGGTCCTTTGCAGGAAATCCATTCTCGGGTCTATGCTATTCAGCATGACATTACAGAATGAGCCTCCCCTAGAAATGATAGCTCCAGGAGTGTGGGATGGAAGTCAGCCAACCCCAGTGACCCTGCAGGTAAGTGCCAAGCTATAAGATTAAAGGACATACTGCAACTGTTGGTTGATAAGTAAGTTCTTGGTCAATTACAGGAACAATTTCTTCCAAGATCACACATTTTAATAGTCTTCTTTTTCTCTAGCCCACTGGGATTCCTGAAACAAATGCTTTTATTTTGCATTCAGAACACTCAAAGCACCTTTTCCCCTGCTTGTCTAATAGCAATTTCAAGCCCTTACTCCATCAAGCAAGGTTATGGAGGACAGCAATGGAGTGTTGTCATTAATATGCTCATTACGGGCATTAATTTTTTTCCATTGTCTAGAAACAGTCATTGGTGTATGTTATTAACTTGTTACCTTACTCACACCTGTCTCTGTATTGTGTCATGTTTCTTTAAAATCCCTTCTATTATACATTTCCTTGATGACTACCAATTCACTGAGTAATGGGGGAAAGTTGCAAGCAAAATCCGTGTAGTGTACTTTTATTTTTTTCTTAACCCTCTCTGCACTCTGTGACTTGGGATCTGAATAAAAGGTAGTCGTTGAGTCCAGACTTTGGTTCTTTCTGCTCAGAGCTCTTCATTTTTCACGAGTTTAGACCATTATATTGGTGAGTGCCTTAGTCACTTTCCCGTGTCTGGTCTGGCACAAAACACCCAACACCCACAATTTAAGGGAGTTGGGTTGACTGTGGCTCACCCTTTCAGTCCATGGTCAGCTGGCTTCCAAGCAGAAAGAGCATGGTAGAATGGCTTGGTGGAGAAAAGCTGTTCCATCTGTGGAATCCAGGAAGCAGAGAGAGAGAGAGAGAGAGAGAGAGAGAGAGAGAGAGAAGGAAGGGGCCAAGAATGAGAAGAATATACTCTTACAGGTCACACTCCTAGTGACCCACATCCAAGCAGGCCTTATATCTGAAGAGCACAGTCAGCTACTGTACTCCCCAGAGGAGGAATCCACTGGTGAGTATAGCATGATCCATCCACCTTCCAAACGCATGAGATTTTGGGAGGACATTGTAGATCTCAGCCACAATATATTCCTGAAACATCATTTTGGCCTGGACAATTCTTTGTTGTGACTATCCTGCTCCCAGTCATTGTGGAATGGTTACCAGTATCACTAGATTCTACTCACCAGATGCCAGCAGCCCCTCCCCAGTTCTGACAATTAAAAATGTCTCCAGATATTGCTCAATGATCTTGCTGGATGAAATTGCCCTCATGTAAGGATCATTACTCTAGATTAAAATAATAAAGCTTAAATACATAGGATTAGAGCAAAAGGCATGAGGGATAGAGTTTAGAATAATGCACAGGAAGATCCTGAAAATGAAAAGGAAAATATAACACTATAAAAAATATGGCTTTGTGGTGTGACAGAGGACAGCCTTACCAGACTACCTAAAGATCCATTCTAATCATGGACACATTAAGAAAGAAATTTTTTAGTTTAGAGCCTGGTGCATCACAAATACTCAACACATAGATATTAGTAGATGTATCTTTGTAGTCAGACAGAAGGTTACAACAAAGATGAAAGATTCACCATAAACCAGATAAACATATTCAGAACTAATGACAAATAGCAAAATACTATGGTTCTAGTCAGTCACAATGAATACATATTTCACATATGATTACTATGCACCAAAAATTTTGATAAACACCTTTACAACAATGAGTGAAAATGAAATGCCAAACCAGTAATCCAAGGAATGCAAAATCTAGCTAGAGAGACAGACTTTCCAAAGTCACCCTACTGCAGTGTGACAGACCCTGTAACTATTGTTTAGTGTACGGGCACTAACGCAGTGAAAAAAAACAGGAATGTTTCTGAAAGGGAAAAACTTTATAAAGTCCAAGGAAGAACTGTTAGAGGATACCTTTTGAATGCTCTGAACAAATTGAGTAAATTCTCACTGACAAGTTTAGGAATTGAAGATGATCCAGTCAGAAAAGACTTGCACAGTACAAAAACAAAAGCTAATAAAGGAAATTTTAGTTTCAGAATATGATAAGTGAGCTAAGATAAAAGAGAAATTACATGAGGAACAGTGGTGAAAGGTGGAAAACATTAAGGAATAAGATATCTACTAGATTTGGAGATTATTTGGGGAATAGGTCATAGTCATATGTTCTAGAAATACTGTAGAAATTGTTCTGGAACACAAGAAAACCGCATATATGGACAGTTTTTAGGAAAACAACTTAGTGAACTCAGCTAAAGATCATAGGGCCAAACTACTTTGAAGATGACAATGTGCAATGTATTAACTCTTGTTATGATCCTATTATTGTGTTATGAAATACACAAACTAAAAATAGTTATTATAGTGTTGGAGAATTTAAGAGGCTAGAGAGACCATTGGGGAAAAAGAGGATTTTATTCTGGGATTTTAGGTTCACACCAGCCCAGTGGATTTTTGTGAATCCAAAATGACTGAGTGTCAGACAAAGGAAAGGCTCCAGTTTTTCTACATTTGGTCAAGGGGGTCTTTGGTGTGGAACTTGTATGTGGGCAGAAGGAGAACAAAGGCAGGTTATCACACTGACAGTTTTGTGCCTTGGTGGCCCTCTTCAAGAAGAACAGGATGTTATGGGAACAGGAGGTAATAAATTTTTACTTACAGGGACAAGAGTTACTGCTTTTATCTGTATTAGAGAAAAGAACAACAGCTGTAGGGAGGGGAAAGTTTGGAACACTTGTCTTTTTATTTTAAATCCTGCTTCAATAGCTATTCAGACAGTAAAATCCAAATGTTTAGTAACAAGTATAGTGAATTAAATATAGAACACAATATTTCAACCTAAAGATTATGTGAGATAATTAGAAGCACATTCTCCCACCAATGTTTATGTTAGGGAATGGCTATGTGTACTCAGGGAAAGGCATCAGGCTGGGAGGTGGGAAATCTGGATTCTACTTTTAGCTCTTCAACAAAACTAGTTATGACCTTGAACAAATAACCTATTCTTTCCTCTGTACACAGAGAGAATTACACTGTATCTATCCAACTTCTGTCAGGTCTGTAGTTTTGTTTACTAGATGGGTGGTTCCTGACAGGGCATAGTGAAACCAATATGACAAAGGTTGCGATACATCACAAAATGTGTTTCCTTCAAGTCAGTGATTTTTATTAGGTCCTCTGATGTGCTGACCAGAAGGAGTGGACCGGGTAAAATAGATCCTAGTTCATAAATGGAGACAAATAAGGAGATTATTGCTTGACTTCTTTAGCTTGGGTGTCCCTCAACTTCCTGCTTCTGCCTGAATCCAACCCAATGGGATAACTCTTGCCATTTTTAAGAGCTAAAAGCAGAGATGTTGCATGTGTAGTAATGTTGTCCTTATTTAATGTTTCTCTGTTTTTTGATTTCCCCATTTCTATCTGAATTTGCCATATTCTGTGTTATTTTCACTCCACATAATATTGTCAAGTAACCAAACTCCCACATATGAACCCAGTGGTGGTTTTCAGTCTTGTCCATACCAGCCCTCTCTGCTCTGTTTGATACTATCTCTACCCTGTTGCTGAGCGATGTCCTCCTCTGACTTTGATGTTCTATCTCCTGTGGTCCTCCTCTCTCTCCTCTCTCTGGTTCTTCTTTCCCTCTCTCCTTTCCAGGAGCTAGACCTCAAGGCAAACCTTTCTCAAGGGACCAACCTGTGGCCTACTGCTATTCTCAAGTGACCTCATTGAAATATAATCTTTACTTATTTTGACTTTGTAATTAAACATTATAATTAATAATTATTTTTTATTTCAAATATACTTATTTAAGTGGTATGGTGTGATATCATCTATGTAATGTACAATAATTAAATCAATGTAGTTAGCTTTTTCATCTTTTTAAACAAATTTTTTGATTGCCATGTACATATTTACTCCTATGTATTTATGAGTAGTAGAGTAATAGAACATATCTCATACAGTTCTCCCATTTAGCATGTGTAATGAAGTAGTTTTAGTATTTTCACAGGTAAGTGCACCTGTCACCACAGTCAATTTTAGAACAGATTCATAAACTCAAAGAAATCCTATACTTTTTATCTGTCACCTCCTAGTCCCCCATCCTCCCCAACCAAATCCTTCCCATCTACTAATCTTCTTTTGTCTCTCTGGATTTCCTTATTCTTGACATTTCATTTAAATGTAATATTTTGTAACGGGCTCTTTTCATTTAATGCAATATTTTCAAAGTTGATCCATATTATAGCGTGATATTTATTCCTTTTTATTTTTGAATAATATTACATTGCATGGATATACCACCTTGGATTTACCCATTCATTAACAGATATATATTTGGGTTGGTTCTGCTCTATGTTTATTAACAAATTGACTGTCATGCACATTTGTGTACACAGTTTTGTGTGGACAGATGTTTTCAAGTCACTTGAGTATGTTTAGCAATAGAATTAATGGTAGTGTTCATTTCTAAGGCTTTCTTCATGGTATCTACTCAAGTACCCTTGTGAGTTTATGGCTATAACTTAGATTCCTGCACAGAGAGAGAGAGAATATGAATAAGAATATACATATTTACTAAAATTTCTACCTGGATCTTCTTTTTTTCTTTTTCATTTTTTTATTTTCTGGTACTGGGAATCGAACTCATGACCTTGTGCTTGCCAGACAGGAGCTGTGCTACTGAGCTAAATCCCCAGCCCCTCCTACCTGGATCTTCCATTGGCAGCTTCAAACATAACACATCCCAAACTGAGCCCAACTTCTCCAAAATTTTATCCACACTCTGAATTACTTTTGTCTTTTCATGTTCCACATACACCTACCTGCTTTCCTGGCTTCCTCTTCTTTCCCTCCCCCTTGTGTAGTGCATGCTACATCCTGCCAATTTATCTTCTATATTTTTTTTAAGTCTGTCCTCTCAGTTCCTCACCCTTTTGCCCTAGTTCAACGGATCCCTACTCTTTACAACAGTTCTGCTTAGCTTTACTTTTTCAGTCTTCAATCCTTTTGTCACAGTGTGATCCTTCTAAAACTTAAATCTGAACTTGTCGCTTTCCTACTGACACTCTTCAATGACTGGGCGCTGCCTAGAGAATCAAGGCCATGCTCTAAGGCAAAGCTCTCTTCCGTCTCTTCTCGTGCCTTTCTCTGTTTGACATTTCAAGCTCTACCAACTCTGAAAATGTTGTAGTGTTTGACATGCACTACTTTGCTTTTAGCTTATGTGCAAAATAAATATCTTTCTTTGTCTAAAATATGCCTTCTCTCACCCCTTTATTGTCCACTCCTCACCCCTTTTCTAACTGTGAATTATATTCTTTCTTTGCAATACACAGACCCTTGTCGAGGAATGGAATCTCTTCCCTACTCCCTCCTTTTTTTTTTTTTTAACCCCATACAAAGTTGTTTCCTTCCTTGGTGTTGACATAATATCCAATAATATTTTATCCATCCTCTTCTACAGCCCCTTCACTGTGATTGACACAAAATCTCACTCACATTGGCGGTATTTCTTCCTTGGAGCTGCTCTAAAGATTATGGTTTCACATGCATGTGCCTTGTGATGCCCAAACCACATTTACAGTGCTGGTGGAAGCTTTTTGAGTAAGCTAAGAATTATGAGCCCCCAGATGGGCCCAGGTGCAATTAATTGGTTGTGGGCCTGGGCACTGCGGACATTCACAAGAGCCCTTCCAGCGTGCCGAATCATGAAGCTGCAGTAGAAACCATGATGGACAGGTGCATAAAAGAGAGGAAGCAAAGCACGATGAGTAAATGCAACACTGGAAGACAATATCCAATATATAGAAAATGGGACTAAGAACAGAGAATGACCGGGTCTTAATATACTCTTTTCCCTGGAGGAAAGACCTTATAATCTTCTCATTACTGCTGTTTTTAAAATCAGGAGTGTACCTTCAAGGCTTGAAGCTGGAGTGTGACAAATAGGTATCATGGCACAGGTAGTGTAGATGTTTGAAGAGCTCTCTTCTGCTTTTTCATTAAGGAAAAATTTGGGACTAAACCTAGGCTTTGCAGGCAGGAGCATAAAGGAGAAAGACATCCATGTGTTGGTCACTACTGGTTTCAAACATAGTTTTAGAGTACTGCATATTTATTAGCCTCAATTTTATTTGTTACTTTGTGTGTTGTTCTCATCAATAAGTTATCTGAGGTTAGTAGATAATACTGCACTATATCTTCCATAATTCAGGATACTCAAAAGTACTGTACAGTAAATACATTGATACATAGTTTAGGGGAACTTGTCTTTTGTAAAAAGTTAGGAGAATCCCCACAAGCAATATAAACATTATGTATTACAAACACACTAATAAAAAGAAAGTTAAAAGAAAAGGCAACTGGAGAAATTCCAATATTTTTAATCAGTGGCTCTAGAATCAGTAACTATACATGTCCACACTCCATGAAAATGTAACTTGATATAAAGTTCACTTATATGTTAAAAATAAACCTGCTTGCCTAAGTAAACTATATAAGAATATATTATAGATTTGTGCACAGAGATACTTTTATATTCTCACTCACTATCTCTCTGTTTTTTGTCCACCCTACCATTTATTTGGGACTGCCATGAAATTGTCTTAATTCATTAAATATTTTAAAAGTATTCTTTTCATGTGTATAACAATATTTACCCAAAAGAGTAGCATATAACCAGCTGGTACAGTATGAGCTTCCATCTAGGGCACCAGAGTGAATCCTTCAAGATTAATCCAGAAGGAGACAAAATTTACTGCTTTGATTTAGCTTATTTATTACTTGTTTTTCATCAGATTGCAGTAATAATTAATACATGATGAAAATTATAACAGAATAATTTCAAAAATATTAGTGGTTATAGAATGAAGTTACTAAATTTTTCTAATAAGAACTTAAATTCATTAAAATGCGTTTCAAAATGTAACGCATATATATAGTCTATTATGTTCTTCAGTTTTCTCCAAGATTCCAAACAAATGTAGTTCAGCAGAGAAAAATAAATTCTGAAGATTAGCTAGTATCAAAATGAAAAAATATATATTCTTCAGAAAATATACGGAGTACTGAAACATCCATTAAATTTACATAGTTTGAAACTGTTGCTTTATTTACTAGAATCAGATTATCACTGAAATATGGTTTAATTGAGTCAGGAAAAAAAGGAGGCCTGGATTCTAGCTCAATTTATAGATCTGAATAGAAAGCCAAAACAGAAATGCTCTGTTTGATTACATAATGTACTTGCAGAATAGGTTACTGCTGGAGAAGAGTTCACTCTGTGTCTAAAAATGTTCCCAGAGTTGTAGTCTGAGAGTAACGTACAGTAACTCTTTATTACCCTAAGTGATTGTATGAAAGGGATAATTGCTGCCTTCAAATTTCTTCCTTTCACAATAGAAAGACATTTTAATATGGATACATAGAAAGAATATAATCTCAGCTTTAAATAAAAGTATAACATATTTAGCTTTATTAAAAGTTCATACATCACTATTCTCTTTTACGTCCTCTCAGGAGTTATTGCAGATGATTAATCTATGTATAAAAATTGGACAAATGCCATATACATTTAAATAATGAATCCAAATTTTAATTATTCTTTTAAAAATTATTGCAAAGCACTATATAGCACAGAAAAACCATGAATTATTCTTTAGTTTCACAGGTCTGCAGTAGAGATTACTGAGTTAACAATGCACTTGGAAGCACCTGCAATACGTGGAAAATCATTTCTTTATTTCAGATTGATTTTCCAGCTCCTGGATGGGAGTACATGAAACCTGATTCTGAAGAGAATAGAACTCATCTTGAAGAACCACCAAAAGAGTATTTAAAACATATTGCCAGACTTTCACAGAAGCAGACTCCTTTATTGTAAGTGACGGTTCTACGAATGGATTTTGCCTGCTTTTCATGATGCCATCAGTCATACTTGAAGCACTCATCGGTACCGAGAACAAACCTTCCTCGGAGTGTGACTTCTCTCATTTCCTAAAGTCACAGCTAGCTTATCAATTAACGTTTAGAAATCAAATAAGTAGTTCTCTATGCTTATACAGCGTCTTTTCCCTGTGGTATTCAACAACATTAGGTGAAGGAAAAGTGAATGGATTGAAAATCATTCCGTCCAAAACACGAAAGCATGAGTGATTAGGGACATTTCTGCGCATTGCAAAGAAAAACCAATTCTCAACCATCCTTCAAATAGGCAGGAAGTTGCTTCAGGAAACAGGGAAAAAAGAAATCTAATTATCAGGGCAGATTTTTAAAAGAACAGGGTTAAATACAGTAATGTTTTAATAGCACTAAATTAGTAAGCAAGGAGTATATTTAGATTTTGTCAAAAAATAGTTTGCTAAATAAAATCAAATCTTATTCCTGCCCTGCTTTCTCATTTCAACTCATGTGATTTTCTCATTCACTTCCACCCAGTGACATCAATTTCCTTCACATACACCAAATAGACACATAGAGTCCCACTCCCATCTGAAGATCGTTTTAGGTGGTGTTTGCTTTATCTGAGATACTTTTTCCTAAATTCTTTACATCTAAGTAACCTCATCCTTTAAGTTTTCACTGAAATATCATCTCTCAGGGAAATCTTCATTGACCATGCTAGTGGAGACTTTCTCTTTTTACTCTCTGTCATGTTACCTTTTTATGGTATGACTCTTAATACAAAGTTATTGTCATCTGGGTCATTGATGTGAATATTTCTTGGTTCTTTCATAAATTCACAAGAGCTACTGTAGGACAGCAAAGAACATATTTTATCACTATATTATCAATGTTATATATGGTGTGTGACAAATAATATGTGTAAAATAAATGTCATAGGACCTGAAGTGTCCTTTCATGGTGTCTGGTATGAGAGGTTACCTTATAGGCTGAGGTGATAGAAAAATCTCATAGTCTTCATGACACAATTATTAACAATTCATTGTTATATTAGACTATGATCATCTTAACTAGGTGCATTTTTCCTAATTCTTATTCAGAAATATAAAACCTTCAATTTGGTGTATCACGTACAAGAGATCATTACAACATAGCTGCAATGAGAGAATTTTAAAATAAAAATCCAATGCTTTGAAGTTTTAAATATCTTCAAATAAAAAGGTCAAACAAAATAAGTAATAATAGCAGTAACTGCCTTGAGTGCTTTTTAAAATGAACCTCAGTGAGTTCTGCTTGTTTTGTACTTCAAGTTCTATTTATGTTAATAGTATAAATAAACAACATTTCTTCTGTCGCACCCACTTAATCATCATTATTCGTATTCAGTACAGTACAATTTCATTCTGAACTGTGAAAACAGATGGAGAGCAGCCTTCAGTGTGGTAAAACTTGTGTTACAATTAGGCTAACTCGAGTTTCCAGATAACAGTCAGTTTAGTGGCTTCAGCCAACTAACATTTTATCACATAGTTAGTGACTTAATTATTCCTTCTTTCCAGTTGATCAAATATAATCAGACTCAGGAAATTCCAACTTCGAGAAATACAATAAAAATGTACTTGCAATATTTTAAAAAATTAAAAATTAAAAAAGTAATTATTCTCCAATCAACCAAAAAGTGGTTCCAAATATATGGAAGACCTTAGATGAAACATATAAAAAATTTGTTTTCATAAAGATTAATGTTTTCACTTCAACACAAAGAGTACCCAGCACCAAACAAACCCCACTCACTTAAAGAACTATGACACAACCAACATACATGTGAAACAATTGTCTTCAGGAATTGAGCAGGCAGGATTTGAGATAAACCTGATGATTAAAGTGGTTTTTGGCCTGTATGCATAGCATCAGGAAAGAGTATGTAGTCTTGCTGAAGTTTAAAGGAAAATTCAAGGTCAGAGTTCAGTGATGATGAGACAGCTGGCCTCTTCAGGGGATGATGAGTGGAAGTAAGGTAGGCGGATTAGCAGCTACAGAATGTGTATCAAGCCCCCTTTAACATGTAGCTGAGTACCAAGCTGCTTGTGTGCAGATGGACTTCTTTTAGGCCTGTAGAAAAATAGGAAATGAGTGTAGACAGAAGTTGAACAATGTTAGGACACAGACAAATCCCACAACAACAAGAAAAGCTCACTAAGCATCTCAGATATTCAGTACAGAAACCAGACACTTACATATTAGAAGTAAGTGAACTCTAGCTCCAGACTAAACTCCAACCTAATAAGTCATAAAAACAAGCTGCCAAAGGATCACTCAAAACCCAAAAGATAGCAGAATGCTAGCTCTCAACAATATAGCACTTCAAATGTATAATGTACACTTGTTAATTGGAAAATTTATTAGGATATCTCTAGCATACTATCAATAAGAAAGCAGAGGGAAGAATCTGGAAAATATAGCCTTCCACAATATAATAAATAGAATTCTTAAATAAACAGAAAGAGACACAAGTATTTAAAATTATCAGACAATGATTTTTATATAGACATTACAAAGATATTTATGAATTTTAGAAGCTATATGTAAGTGAAATATGAAGATTTTAGAAATAAATGGGAGTTTCATGAAGAGAAAAAAGTTAAGTCACTAGATGTGTGAACTTCATAGATTGCACACTGTAGACAAAAGAAGGAATGTGAACTTGAAGGCAGGACAACTTTCCATATTGAAGTACAAAAAAAAAAAAAAAGAACTCTCCAAATAATAATACATTGGCCATGACCCGAGAGAATATCAATGTGATATATGGGTGTGGAGATATACTATACATATAGAGAAACTGATGCAGAAAATAGAGATGGACAAAGTCTATAAATTTGATTTTATAAATAACAGATAGATATAGTCAAGCAATCATGAAAATAAGAAAAAATGGAGTTTGCATGTCTTATTTCAGATATTATAAATCGGTAGCAGTGAAGAAAAAAGCAGTACAGGATTAAGGACAGAGGACAGATCAATGGGATCAGATACAGTGTAAAATAGAAACCCCAGGGTCCTACTTGTGTATTCAATGTGTTTTTTTTTTTTTTACAAAGTTGTGAAAGCTATAAATGAAAACATTTTTTTCAGCAAGTAGATATATTTATGAGATTCAAATTTAAAAAGATTAGAGAAATGTAGGTATACCCCATATTACATACACAAATTAAATTAGGATGGATTATGTTGCCTTAGATTTAAAATCTAGAACTATAGAGCTTTCAGAAGAAAACTTAAGAGAGTGGATGTTAGGGTAGGCAAAGTTTTCTCAAAGAAAAAAGAGAAAGCAGGAACTATTAAAAAATGTATAAACTGAACTAATTAAAATTTAAAACCAAAAGGCACCATTAAGAAATAAGCAGGCAGGGAACATTCTGAGAAAATATGGGCAAAACATTTATATGACAAAATTTTTGTATCTAGAGTATGTGAAGGGGCTGAGGATTTAGCTCAGCGGCACAGTGCCTGCCTGGCAAGGGCGAGGTCGTGAGTTTGATTCCCGGTACCAGATTAAAAAAAAAAAAAAAAAAAAAAAAATAGAGTATGTAAAAACTCATGTAAATAGATTCAACAAAAAGATGGGCAAAAGACAAGCAGACACTTCAAAAGAAAAGATATAAAGAAATGGCACATGAAAAATTACCTAGACATAGGTCAGCAATAATCACAACCACAAAGACAGAGCACTATGCACCCGTTAGAATGGATACTGTTGAAAAGACAGGCAAAATCAGGAATGTGATACAACTGGAGCTAGTATATCATGCAGGTAAAAATGTAAAATTTTACCACCACCTGGAAAACAATTTCACCATTTCTTCCAAAGACAAATTCTTGCTTTACCTATAGATCAGTCATTCCCCTCAGTTTATCTTGGAAGAACTGAAAAAAAAAAGTCCATAAACAACTTGTACACAAATAACCATAGCACTTCTATTCACATCCCCAAAAGGGAAACATCTCAATGCCTATCAAATTAGAAGAATGAATAAATTGTGATGTATGCATACAAAGCAATACTCACTAATTAAAAAGAATGAACTTCATGCACTCAATGATATGGATCATTTCAAAACATTATACTGAAAGAAAGAAACCATAAATAAAAGTGTGTGTAGTCTATGGTTCCCTTTCAGAGTTCTAAAAGAGAAGTCATTACTCAGGAGTGGAAGGAACCATATCACTGCCTCCAGTGGCATGAAAAAATGTTTTTATATCTTGATAGGACTGTGGTTGGTATCTTTTTTGTTTTTTATTTTAAAGAGAAAAAAATACAGAATTTGAAAACAATATGATAGGAAATTAACAATGGTTATTAGATTGCACATTGTTATCTTCAAAGCAGTTGCTCAGATTACCAGATATAGGCATGTAAGATTGATCAAACAGTATCAACTAACTGCTTCTTTCAATAAACTAATAGAAATTATAGTACAATTATTTTAGCTATTGTGTGTGTGTGTGTATATATATATATACATATATTTTTTTTTTCTCCCCTTTCTTCTTTTCTTCTTTTCCCCAACTCAGTTTTTCATTTCTTTGGAGCAATTTCTTTCCCTTTTGCAATATCTAGTGTAACTTTTGAATCTTATTTACTCCTCTAGTTTCTTACACTAAGGAGACTGTTACCTTGCTTATGCATTTGTCCCAATTTATTGAACTGAATCTGCATTTTTTATGTAAATTATGCTTCCGTAGCAGATGTAAAAAGAAAAAAAAAGCACTGCTCAATATTACAGTGTACAAAAGAACTTAATCAGAAAAACTCAAGTTTTAGGAATTTTACTATTGATTTTTCCCCTGCTGGCCTTCCAGTGGGAAAGATTAAAACAACATTTATGAAAGGGACCTACACATAACTTACTGTACTCCAAAATTTACAGGTGAAGATGATGTCAAAGAAACTTTAGAGAAAATTAGCATTTAAAGTCATTGGCTATTTCTCATGAGTCGTCTTGTGAGTCCTGGCTGATGTAAACTGAGCTAGACTGTGATTTGGAGGAAGCAAGGCTGAAAGGCTGCCGTGGTCACATGAGACGCTGTCCTCCAAATGAACTGTGGCTCTGAACGCTGCTGGAGCATGAGCAAAACAAGATAAACCAGTGGCCCTTGTCCTCGATGGAGATCTCTGACTCGGGCCTCTGTCCAGGGGGAAATGCTTGAGCATTTAAGAAAATGGCATCGTTGGTATTTTCACTCCAAACTGCCAGTGGACTCTGAAAATGTAAAGCCAGAATTCAGGGATGAATTGTGATCTTTGTTTTTGGAGTTAACAGCAACATTTTTTTCTGAACTTTGATGCAGCTTGCTCTGAGGTGAAGGAATCTCATCTCTAATATATGCTGTTTCCTTACAGTCCCACTTGGGTCTAAGTTAATTTGTAAAAGAAGGAAGAGAATGAACGGGTGATTGCTTCTGTTGTAAACAGAACATGTTGCAACACTCAGATAAACATAAAATGGGAGTCAGAAATTTTGCCAACTAAAATGACATACTGAAAAAAGTGGCAAGGGTAAAAGGGAGGAAATAAATGTGAATTATCTTTACAGAATTTTTTATGACAGAATAGAGTTATTGGTAAATAAGTTGGTGGAATAACCTATCAAACTATTCCAAGAAGATAAAGGACTGGTTTTCTGAAATAGATTAAAGAGAATTTAAAGAACTAGTGTAAGGTTTTGTCCCTCACATTTACAATGACACTTTTTTAGTGCAACAAAATCCAGGAAATTTGTTTCCAATCTGGTTTTTCAGACTCTCTGAGGAAAAGAGAAGATACTTGTGGTTTTATCGTTTCTTCTGCAATAGTGAAAACTGTTCCCTCCCTCTGGTCCTGGGAAGCGCCCCTGGATGGGATGAAGGGACCATTTCAGAAATGCACACCATCTTGAGGAACTGGACATTTTCTCACCCTTTGGAAGCACTTGGGCTTTTGTCTTCCAGGTATGAACCGCATATTGAACATGATATTACTGGCTAAGAACTTGTTGGAAGTGAAAAAACAGAGGACCCTATAATTAATTCAACAACCATTCTGTTTGTTCCTGATTTCAATAGCTATGTATATTAAAGTTAGATAACTATAAGCTATGAATACAAATTTCAAGCAAATATAAGCTACAATTGTGTCTTTACACTAAATCTGAAGTAGAATTAGTGGTCACAATTTTTTTTCAATAGTCTCTTGGCTCTTAATGAATTAACAGCAAAACATTAAATAGGGGGAAATAATATTCCCTACCCTTCTCCCTCTCAAAATTTAAAAAAATGGAATCGTGCCTTCTACTATTTAAATATGCAAAGTTTGCAAAATGCCTTGCTCATAGTAGTTGTAGAGCTAATAAAACAATGAGGAGAGTAAAAGAAAAAATCTACTCCTTGAATGTTCTCTAGATCTCCTCACAGAATAAAGTACACAGGATATGGGGAGGAGGGGATAAGGATGTCTTCCTGTTATGGAGAGCACTTGTGGACAAATGTAGGAACCCTTTGTATTCAAAGTCCAGAAGTAGTACCAAAGTCTGCCCTTAGGGCATCAACTCACTGATGTCCTGAAAGCCCACACTCTCAGAGCCAGGCAAGACATAGACACCTACCTCTACTTTGAATCTGCTCTCAGGACCCTGAGGGAAGGAGAAAGGTGAGGAAAGGGGTGACACAAAGGACTTTCTTGGGTTTTTTGGTTTTTGTTTTTGTTTTTGCTCTTGTTTTTTTTTTTTGGCTTTTTTGAGATGGGGCCTCATGCAATTCAGGCTAGCCTTGAGTTCAAATTGTAACTGAGGCTGGTCTCGAACTCTCAGTGACCCTCCAGGTGTGCGCCACCACACCAGATAACACTTTCAAATTAACTTATTAAGCTTTTTCACAAATGTGTGTTCTTCCTAAAACTGCTCGGGTGGGAAAGAGAGAGAAAGGGTGTGTTGTTTGGTTTTCCTGTTACTCCTAGCAGTTTCTAGGTCCTCCTCACTCATCCAGCTCAGAATTCACACATTATCATTTGTGACTCTCACATTGAAGATGTTATTAGTCTTATGGCTTCTTGCATTAATGCTTGCACTTCTTTTATATAGAGGGGAATACACACAAACACACACACATATTTCTCTTAATTGGTCTCTTCTGCCTAGTACACTGCTCTATTACTTTGTGAACTGCATCTTATTAAATATGTTCATATGCAACATGTAAACAAGAGCATATTTCCACTCACATTAGACTGCGTGCTACTCAAGACAAGACAGATGGCCCTACTGTTTCTGTGTCTGAAGGCCTTAATAAAATAGGGAACTTAGTAATCTCTCAGTAGCTAATCAAACACTCCTAAAACGTGTTGCGATTATTTGTGCCTCATTTATTATTCAATATACATTTTATGTTGCACTATTTCCATCAGTTGAATAAACAAAGGAAATAATGATATGGTAAAAGAATCAGATAACTGATTCATTTCTTTGGGTTCATTCAAAGTCTATCATATTAATGTTAAATGATTATTTTGGAAAAGCCAAGTTCTCATTTTCACCTTTGTCCTAATGTCTTTTTCTGGTTAAGATATAAAAAATAGCCAAAATTATTTGCCAAATTGTAGTTATTTCTGTTGAAGTAAGACAGAATATGAGTACAAGTATGATTTTGTCATTCCTGAAGTGATTAACAAATAAAGGATTGATTCAAAATGCAACAATAACAACTGATAGAGTAAGAGAAAATACAACCAAAACATATATCCAATAAAGGAATTGTGCTCAGATTGTGCAGAGACTCTGAAAACTGAGCAAAGAGATGACAGATAACCTGATTTATAATGGATAAAGGATTGTCTCTAAGAAAATATACAAATATCCAAAAGGCATACCAAAGATGCTCAATATAATTAACCATTAGGGAATACAAATGGTAGGAAGATACTGCTTCCTACTACACGGGCTTGGCTAAACTCGAAGAAGACAAAGATAAAAAGTTTTGCTGAGACTGTGGAAAACTCAGAAACTTCACTATCTCTGAAGAGGAAAAAATGATGTGTGGTCACATTAGAAAAGAGTACAACAATTCCTTAAATGTTAAAAACAGAGGCAACATATGAGCCAATAATTGCACTCTTAAGTATATACTTAAGGTAATTAAAACATTTCAGTTAAAAAACTCATACATAAATATTCATAGCAGTATCATTTTAATAGACAAAAATAGAAACAACCCAAATATCCCTCAACTGGTAAGTGGATAAATCAGATGTGGTCCCTCTGTACAATACAATATTATTTGATAATAAAAGGAATAAATACAGATATTGTATATGGTACAACATGGATGGATTTTTAAAATGATTTGCTAGGGCCAGGGATGTAGCTCAGCAGCACAAGCACCTGCCTGGCAAGTGTAAGGTCCTGAGTTTAATTTCTGGTACCAAGAAAAAATAACCTGCTATGCTAAGTAGAAGAATCCAATTACAAGGACCACATATTGTATACAGTTCCATTTATATGAAATGTAAACATTGGCAAATCTATAGAGACAAAAAGCACACCAGTAATAACTGAGGACTGGGGCAGGGTGGAGGGAAATGAGAAATGACTACTATTGGGTATGAGGTTTCTTTTCCTGGCTATTATTACACAAAGCTGGGAATGTGTTTTCAAAAAACATTGGATTGTGCTTTAAACAGGGGCAAACTGTATAGTATTTGAATTGTATGTCAATAAAGCTGTTTAAAATTTGTAAGAACATAACCTTGAAGATAAACTCAATATCTGTACAATCTTGCAAGCTAAATTTGCTAATGGGACAAGTTTCTAAAGGGGCTTTTGTTTTATTAAGATACACATCATTCTATATATTATTTAAACACATTTAAAAGTGTTCAAGTTTTTGTAAAGAGAGGAATATTTCCTGCAAAAGTCTTTATTAAAAAGATAATATTACTTTGTGTAGACGCAAATGAAAAGATTAACTGGACAAACTTTGATAGTCTAATGATTAATAACAAAGTATAGTTCTACTTCTCTCTGTAAACAGATTCTGAAAATCTAGTTGACTCTTCTAATGTTTAAGTGTACAGACCAAATTTTATTTAGTGTCCCTGAGTATGTCATGTTAGTGTCCATAATAACACTGGAAGGCATATACTACTATTATTCTGATTTTGTATATGAGGAAACTAAGTTTACATAGGATATATTGTTCCCTGTGACCTAGTAAACTGAGGTAAGAATTAAGTCCAGGCTTTCAGGAGAACAGAGCTTGTGATCTTAGCCACTACGCTTTACAACCTTCCTGTATAAAACCTCTGTTTACATTTTTAATATATTGACTGTCCTTAAATTGCTTTTAAAATTGTAAATAACACTGTTTAGCCATCTTACAGTGTTCAGATGTTTCTACTTTACTCTGTAATTTCTTTTTTCCTGAATAATCAGATTTTAATAGATAGAGATTATAAGAACTTGTTTCAAAGTAGAAGACTGTTACACTTCATTTGGAAAACTAAGTTAGGTCTTGATTTATTGGCACACTGCAAAGTTCTTTATCATGTACCAATTAAGGTCACTGAAAAGGTTGGAGCATTTCCACTGTACTCATCCTATGACTCCCACTTCTAGTTTAACTGAACTATTAAAAAACTTGAGGACAAGCTGTTTCCAGAAATGAACCTTTCAACTCCTCTAAATTCAAAAGCTGACTTTTCTGAGAACAAACAGTATGCGCTTGTTAAATGAGTTGTCAGAGTTCCTCAGAGTTCTATATTTTTCCTCCTCTGAATAGGCTGTTTGTTAAATGGTTTAACCTCTTGAGAACCAGTGTGCTCCATTTTGAGCTTAGGGAATTTTTAATATGTCTGTTTATTTAATCTTGTTTGAAGAGTCACCAGCTCCTTTTAGGTTTTTATTTTTTAAGCCCAGAGACATGATGAAATTTAATTTACCTGGAAGGGGTGATGGAGTCTTACTATTTCCACTACTGAATGCCAGCAGAGTGCTCGCTGGGTACTGATCCTTCCATTAGAGAAGGTGGAGCTGTCACAATAACAGAGACCCGTGGCTAGGGTTTGTGGTTGTTGGCAGATGGTTGCTATTTTCCTGAACCCTGATGCACGGGCACAACTATTGAACTGCTAACAGCAAGCAGAAATTACCCAAGGAATTAAAAGTGAGTTCAAGGAAAGAATTCATTTAAAAATAGCAACTCTGAGTTGGCATCAGAGTTACAAGAGGAGCTTAAATAAAAAATTTGACAAGGCACCAGAACTCGATCCCACATGATGTAAAATTATTGTTTTGCAGGAAGAAAAGCAATACTTCACAAGCAGTGCCATAGTTTCCAAAGTCAATTTCTCTGGCAAACTCTTTCACAAAATATTTGCACCAAACCACTGTATCATTTATTGTAAAGTTTAGTTTAGACCTAAGTCATTCTTGACTAGCATTGCAAATAGGATAAATGGCATACGCAGTAATGAGACAGTTGAAAACTTCTGCAGTCAGATAATTAAGTGATGGATGATGACGTATATTTTCTATTTGTTTATTAAGCAACACTGTGTGTGCAGGAAAATTGGTGAGAACTGAATCAAAGAGACAAGAATAAGCAAGTGTGACTGTCTCTATAAAACACACAATTTAGAGAAAGACTCAAGCTAGAGTTCACTACACAATGTACTCTGTGCAGGTGTAGGTAGTCAAAGCTATATGTACCCCTCGAAGAGAGAAGTAAATGCTTTCAGACAAAGCAAGAAAATCTTTACAAAGAAATTTAATTCTGATTTGAAATATTCACAGGAATTTCCTGAAGTAAGGCTAGCATGTGGACTGCTATGGAGATTCAGACAACAGTAAATAAATTTAACACAATAGAATTTTCCTAGGATACTATAGTGAAAAGAATGGTGTCATTTAGATAGTTTCTATTTTCTTGAGCCAGGTAAGAAATATAGACTTTCTATAGCA